GCTGCCTAGGAGCGATCTGGTCCAGGGTCTCTTTCACGTGCCTCTTCCAGACTGTAGCCAAGGCCTTGGCTGAACTGCCTGGCCGGTCCCCGGGAAAAACCCCAAGGTCCCTCTGGAACCCAGTAGGGCCCACCAGTTGCCTGGCAGGCAGCCCTGCGGAGGTGGGTGGTCCCAGAGAGTTGGAGGACGACCAGAGAGTGATCTGCCCATGGCAATGGGCACGATGAATCTTATAATTCTTTTTCATTAATAAAACACCACAAGGCTTCCCCAACAATTGTGGGGACTTTAATGTTAGAACAGGTCCAAATACAATTGCATTGGAAAACAAGTATCCTGTTTTGTTATGATTCAGAAATGGAAGAACGTTCCCATATAGAAGCTGTAACATCTAAATTTTGCTGGGTTCTCTCTGGCACAAAGTCAGTACTGTAGAGATTAGATCTTATAATCTTAAATGGTGCTTTTCCTGTGGATGGTTCTGGGGAAATCACATTCTCATGGTTCAAGTACAACTGATTATTGTTTGATTACTCATATTCGTTCAGAGTTTCCACACTGGACTAAGGATAGTGAGAGGATCATCTCTCTTTGATCCCCTCCATGATATTACCTGATGAAGTGTTGTTTTTAAATTCCTTCTATCAACCAGCATTACCTGATAGTCACAGACTTTATTGCAAATGGTCTGATGAAGTGGTAGGCATACTGAGTTGCTACTGGATTCTAAGAAAGCAGTACTTTAAAATCTGTTCACAAAAATTATTTGAGTGTGTCTTAAGGACTTACAATAATTTGATTTTACTGCTTCAGGATTTATTTTCTTTTATTAGGCTTGTCCAAAGAAGAACTGTATCACTGTTACATAAAAGGCATCCTTGCAAGAGTCTGGGTGCTATCTTGCAAAAAAGAAGCCCAAAAAAGCACACGTAAACTATAGACAGTCTGGCCTTAAATCCTAGCCACTTGTTTCAAATGACAAAAAAAGTACAAAATTCTTTTAGTTTGCAAAAAACGAAAGAAAGATCAAGCATTTTGGTGTCAGGTATTGTCAGCCTTGTGAGGTAGTCCAGACAAGAAGCACACCAAGAAGTACTAGCTCTAACTTCATTGTTAAGAGAATCTTGCAAGTCTGAAAGTACATCTCTCCCCCCACAACTTTACAGTCCAAGAAACTAGGAAGGGTCCCTTCTGAGAAGTTTGACACACACCCATTCCTTCTGTGGACTCAGCTGCCTCTTATCTGACTGTTGTCTAGTCTGCAGCTCTTCCTCCTGTCTCCCAAAGTCATTCCCACATACCATTACAGGTATGAAGTGTGTCATTAAATAATAACTCCAAAATCTTTTAGCCCTTAGTCTCTAATGTGCTGTGTAATCACTCCCAAGCCCCAGAATGTAGTATATCAGCTCTAGTACCAGAAAACTGTTTTTAGCCCATTTTTATGATCTTGAGGGTATCAGTTCCCTCAGTCATTCACCTGGTGAGATAAATGATCCCATACCTTACTGGAGACCAGCAGCTACTGATTATATCCCCATGGAACTGATTAAACTAAACCAACAATGGTGGGCCTCTTTACTGGTTGCATTGTTTACAACTATAAACAATTTGGGTTTGATCTCTACTGATTGAAAAAGAATCATTATTATACCCATCTATAAAAAAGTCTACATGGTGACCCTGGTATTATGGACTAATTTACCATGTATTATGGGTAAACTATACCCTAGGTTCTTGTTAATTAGGTTAAAATCTTTCTTGGAAGATGAAGACCTCTTAATTGATTCCCTTCAGACTGCGTCGCTCTACCCTAGACCATTACAGGTAGTCCTGGCTTAATGATGGTAATTGGGAACAGAATTGCTGTGGCTAAACAAAGCAGTTGCAGTGTGACATCACGTGACTACATTGCTTAGTGACGGCAATCCCGGCAGTTCCTGCTGCCATTGTTAAGCAAGGATCGTGGGTCATTAAGCGAGGACCCCATGTGACCATGACTTGTAACTTCTTGCCAGCTTACAAGAAGCAAAGTCAGTGGGGAAGCCAGCAGGAAGCTGCAAGTCCTGCCAGCTTGCAAGTAGGTTGGTGGACAGGTGAGTGCTATGGAGTGCGGGCAGGTGGGAGAGGGAGTGATGCAGCGCTGCGCTACTGCAGCCAGGTGGGGGAGGGGATGCTGTGGTACCACGCGAGTGCAGCCAGGTGGATGTGTGCCACGGAGTGCGGGGTGGGGGTGCTGCAGATGGGCACAGACTACAGAGTGCGAGATCCCTTGGATCTTGTACTCTGTGCTGGGCTTCTCGGGAGAAAAAGTGGCAGGAGCGATTTACGGGAGTGACTTGCAACTTTACCAGCAGGCTTCCCCATTGATTTGGCTTGCAGGAAGCTGGCAGGGAAGACTGCAAATGGGAATCACATGACCGCAGGATGCCGCAACCCATCATAAATGCGAGCCAGTTGCCAAGCGTCCAAATCGCAATCACGTGACCACCTGCATGCTGTGACAGCCAGAACTTTGAGGATTGGACCTAAGTGCCACTCATTCAGTGCCATCGCAACTTCAAATAGTTGCTGAACGAGTGGTCATTAACCGAGGACTACCTGTATTTAATTTTATTCCATTTGGCAGAAAAGTGTTTGAGACCAATAATGGGGAAACTGGATCTGAAGGCAGCATTTGACTCTATTCCAAGAAATCTCTTACAACAAAAACTTGATAATTTAGCAACAGATAGAAGGTTATTTTTTCTAATTAAGCCTTTACAGTGCACTGCCTGGGTCTTATGACTATTATTCAAAATTAGAAATTGTAGAATCCAAATTCTTAAAACTATTTTCCAGGTACCACATTGCATCTCTAATGTTGCTCTCCACCATGAAAGGGGATCAATTAAGATTGAGTCAAAGTTCTGGCTAATCTTCACATATTGGCTGAAATTATTTTTTTCCCCATAGGAATGACCCCCCCCCCCGACATTAGCAGATGATTTTAATACCAGTTAGAAGAAATATCTTTTAGACAAATTACACATTTATGGCTTTCTGCAGGAAGTTCTCTTTTCCTTGGGATGTGAACAAACCAAAAGAATTCCAACCCAACATGTTTCTGTCATGGAAAGACCAATCTCTGCTGCCCAGAAATGTTTTCCTGAGCAGTCAGTCTTATATTTTCAGACAGCTGGATACTTAAATTATATCATGGTATCCAAGCTGAGAAGAATTTTCAGTCTTGCTCCATTTAAAGTTCTGCCTTCAGCTCTCCTGGCAGGCAGATCCAAAAAAATTCTATAGACTGCCCAACTATGACTATATGATGCTTATTTATTTATGTACTTTAGAAGCTGCTCAACTCCAAATGACTCTGAGGAGCTTGCACTTTAAAAGCAAGTGTGCAGCAGAGAAGGCGCATATCTGACAGATGAGCCTTTGAAAGCCCAGGGAACCTTCTGACTTAAATGCCCTGGCAAATTGGTACTGAAATAGGCAATTCCTCAAATACTCAGATCCTAAATGGTTCATGACTTAAAAGGTTAAAACCAATCCCTTGAAACCACCTCAGGAAGCAGCCATCAACCAATGCAGGAAAATTTAATTTGCTCATGCTGAACCTTCTGGATCCTCTTCCAGGGTCAGTACAGTAGTTTAACTGTGAGGTAACCAAAGCATGCGAAGCAGCTCAGGACAGTTTGCGGCATCGTAATTATGCAAATGGAGTCCCAAAACATGCAGGCGCTGCACGTGGACCTGCTCAATACGCAAGTGGAAGTCCAGTCCTGGGATCTGATTTCCAGCAGCTGGGCCCTCCACTTGTTCCGGGTAGCTAAAGCACAGCCCAAACACTCCCAGTGAGTCCCAACTTAGCTCAGAGAGGCCTGGAGACAACAAGGCTCTTTATGGATGAAGATCCACAAAATGTCCAAGGGGCAAAGTTGCAGCGCGAGAAAAGAGGCCAGCCAGCTCACCCAGGATCCACTCAGAGCCCTGGCAACTCAGGAAGCAAGATACTGCTCACAGCGAAAGAAGATGAAGGCTTTCCAGGGTGGGGTTTTAATCAAACTTGAGTCCTGTTTCCTATTTCAACTATTATTAATGTATCATTTTGAAGCCATTGTCTCCTTGTATAATAAGAAAAAGGTGACATGATAACTTTGTTGGGGCAAATTTTTAAAGGAAAAAAGACTTAGCAGGGTCCACAGTTAAAATAGCTGTAGCCAAGATTTGCAAACAAAATTCCTTTATGCCTCTAATATAACAGGGGAAAGGTTGTATTCAAAGGTGCATCGTGCTATTAGAAACCCAGAAGAAACCTGAGTATGGAAGGACTAAGGAATGCAAATGACGTAGAAGAGAAAAATTCTAAAGGAAAATGCCATGCTGAATTAACACAGACACAATGTTGATCAACATGGATGGAAGGTCTGACATGGAACAAAAGTTCCTTTTTTAAATAACTGTATTGAAGTTTTTAATAAACATAGTGAAAACTAATTCAAACTAAACTAGAAGAAAAAAGAAAAGTTCAGAAGGTGCAGGGAGAAAAAAAGGAAAAGAAAAAGTAGAAGAAAAAGAAAAAGGCAACAAAGACAATAATAAGTGGCTTCCAACCTTCATCACACTGAGCGTAAGCTAATATAATAACTTATCACCCTCTTTTAAAGTTACAAATAAAAAAAAAACACTTCTCCCCATAGCCTAACTTTTATCTATATGCAATCCAGAAATTGTTATCTTTTCAGTCCTTGTTCAGCAAAAAATCCATTAGGAGTTACCAGAAATATCAAACAAATAATTTATCCCTGATCAAATAGTCCAACTTTATATTCCTTCTTTTTGCTCTTCACAATCTTAACCTTTAAGTAATTTCCAATGGCATCGCAGGATTTGACCTTTCATCAATCTTTGGCATTCAAGAGGAGTCTTTAACGCTCTCACCAGCCTACTTTGTAAATCCCATAAAGAGGCAACGTCCAGGATTTCTTGTTGCAGCTTTTCCGTGTCCAGATCCTTTTCTTGATTTGTCTTTTGTATTCCCATGTTGGTGATCTCAATTTTGTTGTCTTCCAACTTCAAACTCTATAATATCTATATCAGATAAAAGTTTTAAAAAAATTTTCTCGTCTTCTGCAAATTTATCCATTGAAATTTGTATCCTTTCTTTTAGTTATTAATATGTCAGTCCAGTTATCAAAAAACTCTTTAAGATAAGAAAAGGCTATAGCCAGCTTAGCCATTTTAACCCTTCTGCCTGGTCCTTTAGTTCCCTCTAGTGTCCATTTACAACCTTCATCAAGCCTCAGTTCCTAATATGGGTTTAGTTCCATTTCAATCATTTCTCACAAGTATATTATTTAATTATATACTTGTTTTTCAGATATTACAGCAAAAATAACAAATATTCCATTTCTCTCTGGTCTCCCAATCTGTTTAAAACTTTCTTAAATCAAAATCCTTTTTTTTATTTTTGCCAATTGTATATTATTTTAAATTCTTAAGTCTCTGTTTAAAATTTCTTAAATCCA